GAGAGAGAGAGAGAGAGAGAGAGAGAGAGAGAGAGAGAGAGAGAGAGAGAGAGAGAGAGAGAGAGGTGAACCATGAATCGTTTCTGTGGCAGATAGAAAGGTGATGGGGAGAGTTTTTTTATTTAGAGAAGAACATCAAGGTATGTTGTCCACAAAAAAATTTCCTTACATTTATTCCCACCCCCCACCCCCAAACACCATGCTTCGGGTATTATTTGCGGTGATATGAGCATGATTCTAAGTAGTACCCTTGGCCGGTGGCTCCTATCTCCTGGTGGGGAGCTGCACCTGCTGGAAACCAGGTCCAGCGTCCCAGCGATGAACAAAGATGACCAAAGCTTACAGATTTGGGTGGGGGTAATGCCTCGTCGACCTCACCGCAGGCCGCCTGGGGACTTCTTCGACCCTATTTTCTGAAACCTACCCCAATATTGACAGCAACAGCATCTTAGTTTCCCCCGTTCGATTTTTTTTTTTTTTTTTTTTTTTCCCATTCCATTGCAGGTCCCCAATGGAGATCTCTGGTGGGGGGAGCAGATAAGGAATCTCTGAGGGGAGTGGCAATGGGAATGAAGCATTCATCTGTGTCCAGTCTCCACTCAGTCTGATGAAAGGAGAGTGCGCAGTCCCTTGTTATTGCACCTTCATCATCTCCATGTTCCTCCTTCCATTCTACCTCAGAGTCTGCGATCCAGCCTCCGTGCTCTCCTCCCCCCCCCCCCCCCCCCCCCTCTTTACTCAATTGTCTTTTGAGTGACCTTATTTCTGTTCGAGTATGCAGGACGAACAATTTGTCCTTCACATGTAATATCTCATTGTACTGTTAAGTCCTTTTGCTTCTGCTGCTTGATAAAATTCAGTTCGATATATTCTGAGCCCTCTTGGTGTGCCCCCTCCATCTCATACCTGCAGCGTCGCCATGTTGTCAGCAGATTATGATTTTCGGACATCATCATTTTCCAAATTTCCATTTGCCGTTACTAGATTATGAGGAGAAGGCAGCTTCCAAAAAAAAAAAAAAAAAAAAAAAAAAAAGAGATATTATGATTCTCGGACATTCTTCTTTTCCATGGGGCATTGGCAGGCGCTAGTGAGTTGTCGGCAATGGGAATGGGAATGGAGCGTGTTGCGTAGCGCTGCCGGTTCCAATCGCTGTCGGTAGACTATGATTTTCTGTTTGCTATTAATAGATTACGATTCTCCTTTTCCTCAGGCGTTGGCAGGCGCATGGGAATTGTCAGCAATGGGGATCGAAGCGGAGCGCGTTGTGCACGACAGAGCATTGCTGGAAATTGTGGAGCTTGTGTGCCCAATATGTGGAAATCTGTTGTCTCCTGAAGATACTGTGGAGACTCCTTGTGGTCATCTGTTCTGCAGTGCATGCGTAGCACCCTTCATCACATCTCATTCCAAATGCCCTCAGGACCTCAGTCAGGTGCAAATGACAGACCTTAAGCCTGTAAAAGAGTCGAACACGTACGTATATCGCATGTTGGGCCGATCGCTTGTGCGGTGTGTGAGACACGGTGATGGATGCAACTGGGTTGGAGAGCTCTCTGAAGCAGCTGCACATTCATCACAGTGTAGTGTCCCGGCAGGACAGCGGTTGGTCGTGCCGGGCAGCAGCACCGACGAATCGCTACTAGCATCTCTGATTTGTCCCCGGGGGCGAGAACGCGGTGAGGATATTTGCTTCAGCTGCGATGAGAAGAACTTTCAGATTGCCATACTGAGATCTGAAGTTGATCAGAAGGTAATGGAGATAGAGGCGTTGATGCTGAAGCTCTCCGAAATCTCGAAGGAGAACGAGGAGAAGTCCAAGCAAGTGATGGAAATGCAGCAAATGATGGAAATGCAGAAGGAAACTGAGATTGGGATGCTAAGGTCAGACGTTGATAAGAAGATAATGGAGAACGGGGAGTTGATGTTGAAGCTCGCCGAAAGTTTGAAGGAGAAGGAGGAGAAGTGCGAGCAAGCGGTGGAGATGCAGCAGGATGTAGATAAACTTAGAGACGATTGGGAGTTGATGCTGGAGCTCGCCGAAAGTTTGAAAGAGAACGAGGAGAAGTGCAAGCAAGTGATGGAAATGCAGCAGGGAATAGAGAAACTTAGAGACCGATGGAAGGCGCATACTAGTTATAGTAATCGACCAAGTGGATGTGAAGGCAGCTGATGGAAAGTAGATAAACTTAGAGACAATTGGGAGTTGATGTTGGAGCATGCCGAAGGTTTGAAAGAGAATGGCATTGAGGAGAAGTGCAAGCAAGCGATGGAAATGCAGCAGGGAATAGAGAAACTTAGAGACCGATGGAAGGCNGCCGAAGGTTTGAAAGAGAATGGCATTGAGGAGAAGTGCAAGCAAGCGATGGAAATGCAGCAGGGAATAGAGAAACTTAGAGACCGATGGAAGGCATATACTAGTTATAGTAATCAACCAAATGGATGTGAAGGCAGCTGATGGGTGGACAGCTGTGGCCTCCCTGAACACCATGATGGCAGTGAATGAGAAGACAGCAGGCAATCAAGGCATTTGGTTGAGTACTAGAACTATACGCCATGGTGTCACCGAGGCAGCAGGCAATCAGACAGCAATGCAGCGACGGCAGTGAATGAGAAGAAGGCGGCAAGGTGGTGAGTCAACAAGGCAAGCAAGCAGCCATGCAAGTTGATGAGCTGGCAGGCAACGAAGGCAGCAGGACAGGAAGGGGGTAATGCAACAAGCCAAAACAGCACGAAGCAACGGGGCATCCAGTCAGAAAGGTGGAAAGACAGGAAGCCAACAAGCAGCAACATAACACAACAAGGCAACAAGAAGTTGAAGGCGAAAAAACAAGCATCACGAGTCACGACAGAAAGGTGGTGACGCAACAAGGTAGTAGCGCACAAGGGCAGCGAGGCATCCAGACAGCAACGCAGCAAGGTAACAAGGTCACAAGACAGCAAGCGGACACAAGAAGGCGACGAGGCAGCAAGACGGAAACATGGCAGCACAACATCGACAGCAAGGCAAAAAAAAATACAGCACAGGGCAACGAGGCATCAAGACAGCAAGGCTGAGCAAGCCAACAAGGCAGCAAAACAACACAAGAAGGTGACAAGGCAGTCACTGTGTGGCAAGAGGGCAACGGGGCGATAAAGTAGCGTGGTCTGACTGCAACTAATAGCTGCCTTCACGTTCTCAATCGGCCGTTGTATACACCATCAGATTTCCTTGCAATTGCCCTGCAGCTTGATGTTGATCTCGCTAATCTCGCTGATCACCCCGACCTTCAGCCAGAGCATCGTAATTACACCAGGGAAGGAGGTTTTACCATTGCTGTCCTAGAAATAGCGATGAGGAACTGCCAGCTTGAACTACGCCATGCTCTACCAGGTGAGTTGTTTAATCCTCCATCCCGCATCTCTGCCTGCATTGTGCATGGGCCTGGCCATTACATGGCTATTGTACACGCCTCTGACCATTGGGAGGTGTGGAACGACGGTGTCATGGTCCATGCCATGATTGATATTACTGATTTCTTACTCTATGATGCTGTTCTCTTGCCACATCAAACTGTTTGCAACCTCCTTTATGTCGAAGATCATTCCTCTGGCACCGTAGTGCAGCAGTACAATGTACAGACACTGTGTGACCTTCTCCTTTGCACAGSCACAGACACTGTTGCACTTGGSTGTACTCGCCATCATCTTTGTCACAATCACTACCACGAGATGGTTTCTGCATCCATGTGTGTACAGGATTGTCCCTCAGTTCCTGACTGCAGGCACCCTCCTCATCCGGACACTATATGTCCATTTTGTGGCCACGGACGCTATGATGAATGCATGCTCTTTTGTGGGGGGCGTTCTTCCTTTATTCTGGCCTGCAATAGACATGCTATTTGTCAGGAATGTATGGTTRGCATGCTTAATGCCAGCCGTCGTGGCAGTTGTTGTTTTGAGAATGCTCAGTTAGGTCTTCCATGCGCTCATCCACCCCATCCTTACAATGTGTGTCCTTTCTGTCGTCAAGGACAGCCTCATTSTTGAGCTTTGCCCTGTGTTTAACACCTTCCCCTTCACTCTGCCTCTCTCACAGYGTGCAAGTGGGCTGTTATGGCATACGGGGATGGGGGCAGCTTGCGCTCAACTTCATCAACGTGGCGAGCCTTGCACGTGAGAGGCACAGTGGAGGTGGAGTTCAAAGAAGAATGRGAAATTTAATGGTTTCAATCTGCCCTTGTTTTTTCTTTTTCTTTTTATTTTTATTTTTATTTTTGCATGTTTTCACTGTGCCCGTTTTTTGCTTTTATTCTTTGTTCCGCAAAGTGCGCTCTTTTAGTTTGTAGTGATGTGACAATATAT